AGATAGCTCAGTAGAATAAGCGCTTGCCTGGCAAGCACAAGGGCCTGAGTTCAATCCCCGGTTCCACCAAAAAAAAAAAAATTCAGCTAACTTTGGGGCTGGTGAGATGGCTCAGTGGTCTAAGGCACCTACTTAGAACAAGCTGAGCTAAGCAAAACACAGAGACCACGGTTCAATCCCCCAGCACCACATGCCAGCCAGTCCCGCCCCCTGGTGGGCTGAGCTGGCCACACACACACACACACACAAAATAAATAAATAAATAAAAAATCTTTAAAAAAAAAAGAGTTCACTCAGATGCCCAGAAGAGTAAGGAAAGAAGGAAGAAGGGTGCTCAGCACACAGGCACCAGCAAAAGGCCCAGGCAGGAGTGGGCTATGACGTTTAGAACAGTTGAAAACAGGCAATGCATGACGCACACAGTCAAAGCTATGCTTTGCTACGTGCATGTTGTGCAGGAGGCCACACAGGCAGGCAGCTGCTGACGTCCAAGAGTCTGGACGCAGAAGGCTGCCCCTAGTCTCGGCTCCCGAGGGCGACTCACTGGCTGGTGTGCCGTGTGCTATGTGCCGCAGCCTGCCTGCCTTCTGGAGTCTGCAGTCTGTACCAGCCAGCCCTGAGTGCCTGTGTAAGCAGCCCCAGGAAGACATGGAGCCCAGGTTTCAAGACTATCTGGGGAACAAGTGCTGGGCGTGCTCTGCATCCTTGTCGTCACCCCCCACAGCCCACAGGATGAGTGCGCCATGTCCTATGGGTCTCCCCAGGGAATCACAGTGGGCCTGCACCGTCCGGGGGACCCAGCACAGCACATTTCAAGTGAAAAAGCATACCGTTTTCTCTATGAAGGAGAAAAATTTAAAGCAACATGTTAGTAAAAACTAAACGGAGAAGTGAGATAAAGCTGAAGAAAAGGGGACAACTGACAGCAAGGAGTGCAGCCAGCAGCACTGGCGCTCACCTCATGGTCTGCGGGGTTCTGCTCTGAGATCATATCTAACACAGGCTGCACATCAGCTACTTCATGAGGAAATAAACGAAGAAATATTTTATATCCTCGAACCTATCAAATAAAGAGACACTGAATTACTACACAGTTAGAAAGTAGAGAAAGAAGCAAAGTTATCTTTTCTCTTTCTCATCAAAAGCCACCACCTAGCCAGACACGTTGGCATGTGCGTGTAAGCCCAGCACCCAGGAGGCAGAGGCAGGAGGACTGCCGGGAGTTTGAGGCCAGCCTAGCTACAAGAGCGAGTTTAAGGCCACACTAAAATACAGAGTGAGACTCTGTCTCAAAAAACAAACAACAAAAAAGGCACTACCTAGCTTGTCATGGTGGCACATGCCTGTAACTCCAGGACTCAAGAGGCTGAGGCAGGAGGATCACTGTGAGTCTGAGGTCAGCTTGGGCAACTTAAGCAAGTTCAAGGCCAGCCTGCACTACATAGTGAGACCCTGTCTCAAAAAATAAACAAATAAATAAATAGCCACCATCTAGGCCCCAGCGATTAGACAGAATGTGTCATTTTGCAGTGACCTTAACAGAACCACAAGGGCAGTCTTCACCTCCCAAATAATTTCACCTGTCAACATGCGGCATGCGTATTTGGCTCTCCAATCTTACAAAAGGCCCATCAGAAGCACAGCTGTGTCCACAGCCATACCACGTGAGCTCATCTGATCTCAGAAACTAAGCAGGGGGCTGGCTAGCACCTGGATGGGAGAATCACAGATACGCTACAATCACACCATTGCCCTCCGCCACCTATAAGAAGTATGCCTCACAAACCTCGCAGGTCACCAGATCCATCATCTTGGCTTTTTATTTTAATTTATTTTATTTATTTGTTTGTTTCTTAGGACAGGGTCTCACTATATAGCTTATGCTGGCCGCAACCTCATGCCGATCCTCCTGCCTCAACCTCCCGAGTGCTGCGATTATAGACATGCACCACCGCACCTGGCTCACTAACACTTCTGTAAAGTGTCCACCGTGTCCTCCAGCCAGCCAGGGCCTGTCCCTGCAGGCGTGCTGGCAGCTGCATGAGACAGCCAAGTCCCTCCCATGGTCAGAGCTGCAAATGAGCCAGTACCAGGCCTCCCCCAGGGCCTGCAAGAGAGCGAGGCTTGGGACCCGCCTGGCTTCCTCAGGCTGTACGGTAAGCTGCCCAAGGAAACCCACCCATGGAAAGTCAAGAAGCATTCCATTTCTACCAGGCTCTGCCTTCTCTTTCTATGGAACTCCACTTCTGCCAAATGTCCCCCTCAACCACTAAGATCTGAGCCCCCAACATATGGTTAAAGAGAAAATGAAATCTCTAAATCATGTCTAAGAAACATGTTTCCTGAGAAGCAGCACTTTGGAGAGCAACTTCTTGACCAAGTATGTGACCAAAGCATCCATCAACTCTATAGAAGTACACAAATATTACCTTGGTGATGATGTACAGAAATTTAAAAGCCAGATGTACAAGGGTGCCAGGTGAGGTCCTGTCCTGCACTATGTCCAGCAACAAGTTCATCATCCACTCTGGGAAACAACATATATCAAACATCAAATATTAGTATGATACGGAATCAAAATACCAAAACAAAAGAGCATGGTTAAATACCTAAGGCCTATATGATACGGCAAAGGAGAAATAATATTCATCTCATCTCATTCACATTATTATACTCTCAAATGTAAAAAAAAACAAAATCTAATCCATATTTTTTTTTTCAGTTTTTGGAACCAGGGATTGAACTCAGGTCCTTGCACCGCCAGGCAAGCACTTATTCTACTGAGCCATCTCCCCAGCCCCTCTAATCCATAGTTGATAGATGATCTCTGCCATCACTGTGACTTCCCAATGTATTAACACAGAAAAAAGAGAAAGAGAATTTCTGATTTCGGCCATAAATGAGTAAGTGATCTGGAATTTGCCCTTTTACATTAAAAGTTAGAAAACAGCAAAATTGGGCCAGGGAGATGGCTCAGTGGAATAAGCGCTTCCCTGGCAAGCGCAAGGGCCTGAGTTCAATCCCTGGTTCCGCAAAAAAAAAAAAAAAAAAAAATAGCAAAATACACACAGCTTTGATTTTTCTGACACAGGAAAACAGGCAGTCCACATGTGCTCCCTGAAACGGGACAAGCACTGACCAATGCTGTCCCGTCTGTACAAAGACAAGGATGGAACCTGGTGAAGGGAAGAGCCATGCAGAGCACAGGATCACAGAGACAGGCACCCAGGGACAGAGTCAGCTGAGCTGTGAGGGCAAGGGTCCAGGGAGAAAGCCCACAGAACATGAACTCCACAGGTCAGCAGGCAGGTCCTGCAGCCCTGGGCTGAGTCCTCATGAGCCTAGGTGGAGCCCAGAGGCCAAGTGAGGAGCAGGAAATACCAAGATCCAAGGTTCTCATGACTCAGGGCACCAACCAGGACACCAGAGAGGCCTGCATAAAGCCAAACTAGAGAAAGGCTAAAAGGCTGCCCCCACGCTGCTTAAAAGGTTGAATGAAGCTACACAGTCTACAAGTCATACCACTTCCTGCTAAACTCCAGCACACTGCAAAGGACACAAAATTAGAGCACTTGGTCATGGAACAAAAACAATGCACCAGGTAACTGAGACTATCAACATCACTGGATTCAGAAATGGCTACAAAGGTGACTGGGCTGTGAGGGCCCTGCCCTCCCCAAGGGATGAACATATTGCCAAGCTCACTTCCAAATGGGCCATCCGGGAGGGGACACTACTTGAAGGAAGTGGGTGAAGGGCATGTGACCTTGGGGACTCTATTTGGTTCCTGGCCCCTATCCTTCACGCTCTTGCCCTGTGGCTTCTTGGGGTAAGTTAACCAGCTCTCTTTTGGGGATCTCACTGGCCAAGTTTCTGTCCTAGAGCCAGCAGACTATGGACTGAAACCTCTAAAATCACGCAAGAAATAAATCTCTCCTTTAAGTTGCAGATAGCAGGTAATGAGTCTTAACAATTGAAAGATGACCAATGTAGCATCCAAAGGAGCACAAAGATGGTGAAGTGGTACGCAGCAGAGAAAGAGCTTCTCAGAAGGTTACCATCCCGATGTTAGAACATAGCAATGTGAGGAAGCCAGGGAGGATCTAAGGCATGAACTGAAACCCACAGACAGAGTAAAGAGACAATGAAGGAGGAGACAGCTGGTGAGGCTTTCTCCCTGAGTCAGGACTCACCGTGCCAGAGAAGTGATTCAAACTCATGGACACACTATGACTGCGGGCAACCTCAAAGGCCTCCACAGACAGATGCAGCAGAGGCAGGGAGCAAAGGATGTGAAGAACTGCACCAGCTAGAGTCAGTCACATGAGAGATAGCAATTGGCTGGAAACCATTTAGAGAGTGGCCAGCTGAGCTCAGAAATCAGACATTACAAAAAAAAAAAAAAAAAAAAAAAAAACTGATCATAGACATCACGGCAGAAAACACGATGTCTAATAGGGAAAAACAAATTGACATACAGTTAGGTAAGGAACATAGAACTCCAAATACCCATTAAAAAAAAAAAAAAAAAAAAAAAAGAACAGGGCCAGGGAGACAGCTCAGTAGGACAAGTGGTTGGCTGGCAAGCACAAGGACCTGAGTTCAATCCCCAGTTCTAAAAAAAAGAAACCTACAGCCAGGCATATCATAGTCAGAACTCCAAAATCTGAACACAAGAATAAAATCTTAAAAAGCTATTAGGGAAAAGAATCAAATCACCTATAAAGGAAAGCCTATCAGCACAAAATCAGACTGTTACAAAAAGGCAAATCAACTAGACCAAAAAAAAAAAAAGAAAGAAAAAAGAAAAAAACATCAACAATGAAATACTGCAACTGAACCAAACTTGTGAACAAATAGACTTAAAAGATATTTGCAGGGCTGGTGAGATGGCTCAGTGGTCTAAAGCACCTACTTAGAACAAGCTAAGCTAAGCAAAAGCACAGCGACCGCGGTTCAATCCCCAGCACCACATGCCAGCCAACCCCGCCCCCTGGTGGGCTGAGCTGGCCACACACACACACACACACACACACACACAAAATAAATAAATAAATTTAATAAAAAAGAGATATTTGCAGTGTTCCTCTCCACAACATCAGAATACACATTCTCAGGTGCAAAAAACACCCACCACACAATCGCTCACAGAACACACAAAGGAACTGAAATTATTCCATGTATGTTATCAGACCACCAGTGCCATAAATTTTGGAAATTAAAGGCAAGAAAAACCACAAGAACTTCATAAACACATGGAAATCAAATAGAATCCTCTGAACAACCAATGAGATGAAGATTAAAGAAAAAATTAGACTTCTTCCGCAGTTAAATGATAATGATAATACAACATACCAGGATTTATGGGGCACAATCAAAGCAGTCCCAAGAGGGAAATGTATAGCAGTAAATACCCATATTAGGAAAACAGAGCAACTACAAACAAACAACTTAATGGTAAACCTCCAACTTCTAAAAAAAAAGAAGAGCTTTTTTTGCAACTATGGCCAAGATTAAGGCTCGGGATCTTCGAGACAAGAAGAAAGAAGAGTTGTTGAAACAGCTAGATGACCTGAAGGTGGAGCTGTCACAGCTGCGTGTCGCTAAAGTGACGGGCGGCGCGGCGTCCAAGCTCTCCAAGATCCGAGTTGTTCGCAAATCCATTGCCCGTGTTCTCACTGTCATCAACCAAACCCAGAAAGAAAACCTCAGGAAATATTACAAGGGCAAGAAGTACAAGCCCCTGGACCTGCGGCCCAAGAAGACGCGAGCCATGCGCTGCCGGCTCAATAAGCATGAGGAGAAGCTAAAGACCAAGAAGCAGCAGCAGAAGGAGCGGCTGTACCCTCTGCGCAAGTTTGCCGTCAAGGCTTGAGTGGCATCACAATAAAACTCAAACTCTGAAAAAAAAAAAAAAAAAAAAAAAGAAGAGGAAGTTAAGCCAAAATCTCATAGGAGGAACAAACTATGAATATCACAGCAGAAATTAACAAATTGGAGACTAAGAAAACAGTACAAAGAATCAGTGGATTAGAGTTTGTTCTTTGAAATATTAAATAAAATCAAGAAACCCTTTGCCTATCTTATGGGGAAAAAAAAAGGAAAGTCTCAAATACACAATTAGGAATGAAAAGCATGAAATCTCAACAGATCTGGCAGAAATTCTTAAGATCATCTATCCTACTATGAAAACTTGTATTTTAATCAGATTAAAAAATATAGAAGATATGGACAAATTCCTAGATACATATGAAATACTAAAGCTGAATCAAGAAGATACAAAAAAAACCAATATACATCAATGAAATCAAAGATGTAAGTAAAATCCTACCAATAAGGAAATGCCCAGAACCTAATGGATTTGCTGTTGAATCCTAGAAGAAATTTAGTGAAGACCTAATACCACTACTTCTCAAACTCTTGAATGAAATTGAAAGGGAAGTAATACTCCCAAATTAATTACAGGAAGCAAGCATTACCCTGATACCAAAACCACAGAAAAACCCAGCTAAGAAAGAGAACTATAGGCCAATCTCCCTAATGAACACAGACTCAAAATATTAAGATGCTGGTTGGGACTGGGGATATACATCAGCACTGTAAGTGCCTGACTGGAAAGTACAAGGTCTTGAGTTCACTCTCTGGTACCACACACACACATACAAAAAGATACTGGCAAATGGAATGCAGTAATATGTCATGAAAATTATACACCATGACCAAGTGGGATCCATTCCAGGGATGCAGGAATGGTTCAACACACATAAATCAATAAATGTAACATACTAACAGAGCCAAGGACAAAAACCATCTGATCATCTCAACAGATGGAGAAAAAGTTTCTGACAGGAGTTATGTGGGAGCTTCCAGCTACCCTGTGCCAGCGGGACCTACCGGTTCCAGCCCAGGCACAGTGTGGGTAAGACCCTCTTCCACCCCCTTGGGACACCCCCCACCGCTCCGCAGCACCTCCCCAACCCTGCCCGCCGAGTAGGAATTTCTGTCGCGTTCCAGGTACCCCCAGATCCAGTCCAAGCCCAGGCCCAGTGAGTGTGTGGGAGAGCTGCCTCTCCCCGCTACTCCACCTTGTCCCCTCCAGACTCAGCTCAGGCCTGGCATACAGGCCTGGGGTGAAACCCTGCAGCTGCAATCCCTACAGAGAGAATAGGGGACAGAACCACCCAGCTAGTCCAGGAGCAGAACATCTTGCCAGAGGGGCACAACAGGTTCACCCCCAAGGGCAGCAGCAGGAAGGATCTAAGCATAGCAGCCAGACCCAAGCCAGGCATAACTGGATAAATCCAAACTTTGTAAATCTGCGCCTGAACTTCAGCAGGTGCTAAAGTTATAACTGCACCAAAGATCTACAACAAAGGTCAGAAGACAGTGCTACACAAAATGACAACAAGAAGGAGCAAAATGCAATCTCAGAACCCAAACCCACCCATAACAAGTGTAGAGCACACTAACACAGAACAAATTGGGAATCACACAGCTGAAATCAATGAATCAATGGCTTCTGAAATA